AGGTCCCTTCAACCCATCCCATTCCATGATTCAGTGGGAACACGGCTGCTGCCTTGGCTGGGTGCTGCTGATGTGGCTTTGTACAGCTCATCCACATCCCATCTCGCTCACCCCCAAAGGGCTGGTGGATCCATAGGTGCTGCTGATGCCCAGCGTGCTGTCTGTGTTCCCTCTGCTTTTTATCTGTCACTCATCTCCAGAGTCAAATGGAGTGTTTGGTTTGCAACCAGCTACCCAGAGCAGCCTAAATAATTTTAGGAACGGCTCACCCTCTGCACGATTGGCTTTTCATAGAATCATGGAATTGTTTGGTTGGAAAAGACCTTTGAGACCATCGAGTCCAACTGTACCTGTCCACTGCTAAACCAGATCTCTGAGCACTTCATCTACTCGTCTGTTAAATCCCTCCAGGGATGGGGACTCCACCACTGCCCTGGGCAGCCTGTTCCAGTGCCTGAGAACCCTTTCAGTGAAGACGTTTTTCCTGATATCCAGTGTGAACATCTCCTGGTGCAACATGAGGCCATTTCCTTTTGTCCTGTCACTTGTTCCTTGGGAGAAGAGACAGTCACATTCAACAGAAGCTTTCATGGTGGTGGCAGAGGTGAACCATAGTTTTACCTGGAGCAAGAGGAATAAGCTGCATTATCTTCCATGCGATGAGGTCTTGCTAGGCCAACCTTGACAAGCACTTTGTTTTCAAAGGTTTGTCCCAGGCACGGAAATAGAAACACTCCAGACTTTGCCTTTGTTCCCTCTCAGTTGTTTGTTTTCTCAGAGATATTTCTCCGAATCAGGGAAGATATTGGAGCTAATAGCAGCACTCTGGCCGAGGCTGAGGGTCGTGTATTTTCTATATCAAATACATACACCAAGTGATTCCAGCCACAGAGAGCAGGAGTTCTGTGCAGGCAGAGAGCCCACAATACAGGTTTCTTTGTAGGTAGCTGGAGAAGCAGATTTTTTAATTGGATTGCCATGAAAAATATGAGCTGTTGACCAGAAGAACTGAAACCCCTAAGGTCTGTATAGCAGAAGAGGGTGAGTGTGGTGCTCCCCCAGCCTGCAGCACCCCGACTCTGCTGCGGTTCCTCTCTCACACGATGCTGGTCACGGGCCCGTGTGCCAAAGGAATATTGACTGTTCCTGTGACGCTTCCCCTGCGCCGACGCTTCCCTACCAATTACTCTGTATTCAGTTATGTTGGGTCGTGCTGGTGATTATACAGTATCCAAGCAACCCAGGCCCAATCTAATTTAACACAACATGGATTTACTCCGCTCCCAATCTCCTTTCTTTTTCTGAAGGTGAATATAAAGTGAGTGGGTGTCCAACAGAGACCCCCAGGAAGCAGGACCTGCCCATTCAGCTGCAGGGACAGTTCTCCCACAGGAGCCCTCAGCTCCCAGACGAGACTGTCCCCTCAGGTGACAGAGTGTGGTCTCCAACTCCCTTGGCTGTTGGCCTCTTGGGTTTGCACCAAGTTGGTCAGATCTTTGTGGATCAAAGTCCCTTTGCAGAGCTGCTCGTTGGTGATGCGTTGCTGAGCGCAGCTATTCCCCAGGTCGAGGGGCTCCATGGTCTGTCCCACCCTGCTGGGAATGATCTCCTGTGGGAACCATCACATGCTGGGAAGAGGAGGAGGAGGAGGAACAGCCCAGAGCCTGGAAGTTGGTGATGGCCCAGCACGTTGAAAGCACCAAGCAGGACTTATGAGGTTGCTCTCCATGTTTCTCCATTAGTTGATTCCCACCTCTTGCTTGTCCTGGAAGTGACTCCTGCAAAGTGTGGATGGAGAGAGAACTGAAAAAGGGCCCATCACAATTAATGTCAGAGCAATTGCTTTAGTGCCGTACTTGGAGACCTTCTAAAGGGCAGCTCAGGAATGGCACTAACAACGCCTGCCCAAAAGCACCAACATTAAGCACACTTTGGGATGAGAACACCCATCTTTAGAATCTGCAGCATTATTTTCTGGTACAAAGGATGATGAAGAGGCGTAATTTTTAGTAAATTATCGTGTGGATAATGGATGTGGAATTTGAAGGATGTGAAAGGTGAATCATGTTTTGTAGCATCGCGTTGTGAAGAGACTACTGCTGGAAAAGTACCCCTGGTACCCATCAGAAGTTCATGTCCCACCAGACCTGCATGGCTGTACCCTGGCTTCCAGATTTACAAATTCAAAGCAAACCTGGTACCGAGGAGTTTGGTGCTGATTGCTGGAGGGAGGCGAGGGCCAGCGCTCGTGTCCGGGCACGTGGGTGTTCCGAGGGCTGAGGGCAGAGCCAGGTCTGTGGCTGGTGCTGCAGGACCGTGTCCTGCTTGGGAAGCCGTTAATAGTTTAATCTGGAATAATTAACAGGGCCGTGCACGGCTGCCTGGCCGTAATGAGTCAATGACAACGCGGTTTATTAGCGTGATGTATTACATGGTAACGGTAATGAGAAATGGAGGCGCCTCATTTTGTAAGACTTAGATCAATTCAGATGGTTTTTTATAAACGAGCGTTGTTTCAGTAGCCACAGAAGATCACTGCAATTACTCTGCTATTAGTACTTTTCAAAACTATTTGAATTACAGCTGCGTTTTCAAAATCCAAATAGGAGCATTTTATCTGAAATCCGGATGTTGTTGCAACGTCGTTGGCATTTGTAAATGTCTTGATAAGGAGGTGGACTGGAGGGGGGGAAAGGTTTGAGTCCCTAGAGAAGTAGGAGGTTTTTTCCTGTAAGTAAGTTTTTTCCTAAGAAGTTCTTTCCTGTTGGACTTCTCCTACCTTTCTCTCTGCTCTGTGAGGTTCTCATCTCCTAAAGAAGGTTTACTTCCTGGTGCTGGGTTGCTGCGTGCACAGCTTGGTCGGCTCTTGCTTCGCTGGGGACAGGGATGCTCAGCCAGGTGATGGGGACAGCAGGGTGGCAGCAGCCCGTGGGCAGTGTGTCACCTCGCCGCTGAGCTCCATCCTCCTCCCGTTATCGTCTCTGTCACTGGAGCCTTTCTCTGGGGCAGCCCATCACCCGCAGCGCTGCCGTTTACCGACACGGGAGATTTTCCCGACACTTGTGATAAAATATTCAGAGCTTCCTGACAATGGGGGAGTTACGGGTAAGAGGGAGGTCCTGCAAGCTCCCAAGGGGCTAAGCAGGACCTTTGCACGTTTGAAGTGGTAACCCAAGCCCAGACTTGGTGGAGGTGACAGCTCTGTGTATTCTGCAGGGATATAACAGGAGTGAGACTCCTTGTCTGGGCTGTAAATAGGGCTGGAGTTGCTGTTGGGGGGAGCCAAATCTGTGAGATTTGGATGAAGAAGAACAGGAAACATCTTTTCTTTAAGCCAGACCTAGTTTACGCTGTGCTGAAATAAGCTCAACGTGCACATAAATGAGCCCTGTGGTGTCTTGACCCTGAGGCAGTAACAAAGCTTGTGGCAGTACATTTTTGGGACAATCCAGTGAGGTCTGAGTCTCTGTGTTACCCACGGCGTTTGTCCAGGGGAAGAGTAAAGGGAAAAAACACCGAGAAAACCCCTCGGGTGAGAACTGCGAGTGATTGCGCTGCCTGAAGTCCTCGGGTTTCCTGGTTGAAGAGGTCAGGAGAAAACCACAAGAGCGAGTCGGGGAGCCAGATTGCAGGGCTTCCACCGCAGGTCCCCGCCGCGTCACCCGCGCGCGGGTCCTTGTGTCACATGTCCCCGTGTGACTTCTGCACCTGACTCAGCCGGAGGCCGCGGTACCTGCTCAGGTTGGTCTGTGCCTCAACCAGACGTTTGGGGATCTGATCAATGTCTATCAATATCTGAAATGTGGGGGCCAAATGGATGGGGCCGGGCTCTTTTCGGTGGGTCCCAGTGACAGGACAAGGGGCAATGGGCACAAACTGGAACACCAGAAGTTCCAGACAAACTTAAGGAAAAACTTAATTACTGTGAGGGTGCCGGAGCCCTGGGACAGGCTGCCCAGAGAGGGTGTGGAGTCTCCATCTCTGGAGATGTTCAAAACCCACCTGGACACTTTCCTGTGCAACCTGGTGTATGGAACCTCCGTCGGCGGGGGGGTTGGACTGGATGATCTCCAGAGGTGCCTGCCAACCCCACCATTCTGTGGTTCTGTGATTCTGTTTGCCATGGAGCAGCCAAGCACTCACAGTGGGACATGACCCTGGGGACCTCCAGGCTGGGTCCCACCTTGCCACAGACCCTTGGAGCATGGCCAGGGGGCTCTCCCAGGGCAGATGATCTGCCCCATTAAAGCTACTGGTGCTTTACACCATGAAGACCCAGGGCCAGCCTGGAGCTGCTCCAGAGTAACCACCCAAATGCAGATTAGTGGCGGGTCCTCAGCACGAGCTGCTTCACTTTGCTGAACTGCTTTGCTCCCGCGGGGCTGCAATACTTGGGAACATAAAAATAGATGGAGATGTCAGGGAGGAAGGCTCGAGTGTTGGCACGTCTCTGGGAGAGCGGGTGTCCGTGTGGGATGGATTCCTCGATGGGGTGAAGGACACATGTGCGTGGGGCCGGGGTAGAGCCCCATCTGCTCCTCCCAGCCTGGTTCGGTTGGGCTGGATGGGGCTGACCTCTGGTGCAGGCAAATGGGTGAGAAGGAATTGGATTTTGGAAGATATTAGGTCACTCATTCAGCTGGAGAGCAGCGTGTGTCAGAGGTCCAACAATTTGTTTTTAGAAGGGTTTTAAGCATTAATGATTCAAGATGTTTTCCTGGGAGTGGTTTGCAACATGAGAGCCAGTGGCCGGCCTAGCGTTGGGGTTTTACGGGATTAGTCAATTCGGTGAGGCTGAAAGGTCTCTAGTAGCACAACAGTTAAATTTGTACTTTTCCACATGGCCGAGCCTTCAAGGAGCTCACCAGGAGTATAAAAAATGTAAACAGCGTTGTAAGCTTGTGCCAGCCGTGAGGCAGAGAGGGGGGTTCTGTGAGGATTAGTTCTATCACCCATTTTTTTCTTTCTTTCTTTCTTTTTCTTTCTTTCTGTTTTTTCAGAGTTGCAAATAATCACAAGCAGAACCTGATGACTGTAGCTAATCTGGGTGTGGTATTTGGGCCAACACTGCTTCGACCTCAAGAGGAAACAGTCGCTGCCATTATGGACATCAAATTTCAGAACATCGTGATTGAAATTTTAATAGAGAACCACGAGAAGGTAACGGCTTCGCTTGCTTCTTTCAGTGCAATTAATTTATGGAAATGAGTTTGTCTGTCTTTACAAAGAACAGCCCCCTCGCTGCGGGTGGGGACGGCAGCGGTTGGCACCACCCGGGTGGTCCCACCAGTGATGGACACGGCTCAGGATGTGGCACGGAGGCACTAAAACTGGCAGTTCTGGGGCTGTAGTTGCGTAACCAGCGCTGCTGGTAACCAGCCTTTTTTACCATCATCTCAGCATGAGTCGGCGTGTCCATGTCTCCATTACAGAAATCCCCTTTTCTTCCCCCTTGCCACTGTTTAACGGGAATTTGTCCTTAGTTTCAAGAGATGAGCGCTAGGAGAACCAGCGCGAGATGCGTGCCTAGGCTGGCTTCCTGCTTCCCGGGCTAAATCCGTGTTTGTTCAAGTCCTGGCTTTATCCACAAGGTCCATCTCCGAAGTGATGATGCGTTTGTGTTTGTTGGCCGTGAGGATGTTCTCGTCTGGAAGTGGAGCAGTGGCGGCTTGGTGGGGTCATGGCACTGGCTGTCCCTCCCGGCCGGCTGCGTGGGGTGGCTGCATGCAAATGGTAGCGCTAAAAAAATGTCATTTTCTTCTAAATTCAGACAGTTCCCTGTTTACAACCTTTTGTTTGTCTGGGTTTGGTTGAAAGAAATAGCTAATTGGTGCAGCCAGAGAAGGGAGTAGAGGCAGGCTGGCCCCTGGCTGGGCTTCCGTGGCAGGGTGGCATTGTGGCTCTGGTGCGGGGGTTTGGCGTGTAGATGTCTTGGCCATGAAGAGTTTCCTGCAGGTTGGGGTGCGAGGCTGAACCTCTGGTGTGGGGCACGTCCGTGTGGGGCTGCTTGACATCAAAAGCACAGCCAGCGGGGATGAGGAGACAGAATCCATTGTATGTTCTTGGAGAAATTGCTTCCACGGGCACATGAAGAACATGATTGAGGATGGAGGAGCTATTTTCTCCTCCTCTGTGTGTAATGTCGTGGCGATGATGGCTTCATTACGAGCTGCTGTGCAGAGGGATGCGCGAGCAGCTGTGATGTGGTTGAGCAAAGCCCAGTTCCCCCAGCCCTGGTCCTGTGTGGACATAAATCCCTGTGTCAGCCTTCGATGGTCACCTCTGTCTGTCTGTCATCAGTCTGTCGGTACTGGGAAGCATTTCCCACCTCTCCCTGGCTTGTGGTGGTGATGAGCCCCTTGGCTGTGCTGCCAGCATCTCTGTGAGTGTGTTTTATCTCCCTTCCCCTCGCTGTGCTTTATGGAGCCCTTCCCTTGTGGAAACACCTCTTGGGACACTGATTTTTTTCTGCCTGAGCTGAGTCTCTTGCTGTGCCAGCCGAGCCCTCCATCCGCTGCTGTCTGGGGAGGAACTGGTGGCAGATTTCCTCAGGGATCCTGTCTGGGTAGGCTGTAGGGCTGCTCTCTGCTCACCAGCCAAATACAGCTTCTACCCCAGGGGGTCCTGGTACTTCCATGGTTCCTTCTCCTTGGAAGTTATTTACGGTACCAGCAGATGGGTGAATCTGCAAGTTGGTTACATACATCATCACTAATTAATGCTGAGGGTGGGTGTCCCTGCTGCAGGGTGTCCCTGTGCCCGGGTGCAGCGAGGGCTGGGGTTGTAGGATGGTGAGCTGTCCCTGCGGGGCTCACGGGACTCATGGGACCATCTGCAGCTGCCACTTCACACAAGGATGCTGTGAGAAAAATGTCCCCATTTCTCCAGAACTCTTGGGAAAAGCTTCATCCAACCTGGTCTTAAACATCCCCTCCCTGGAAGTGTTGAAGGCCAGGTTGGATGAGGCTTTGAACAACCTGGTCTAGTGGAAGGTGTCCCTGCTGATGGCAGGGGGGTTGGAACTGGGTGATCTTGAAGGTCCCTCCCAACCCAGACCAGTCTGGGATTCTGTGATTCATTTCTATTTTCATAGAAAAGATCCTGGGAAGGAGGGAGGTGGGAAGAGGTGACTCCAGGAGAGGAAAATCTCTGAAATGCAGTGTTAGTGCTGGTTGAGCTCCTGCTTTAGGACTGTTTCGTTTCAGTGTATTTCTTAATTGGAATTGATTGGAGCTGGTGGCAGGTTCCCCGCAGGAGCTGCCGTAGGTGATGAGCAGCGTGAGAGTCGCCTGCGCTTGTGCTGCTGGGGCTCTGGGTTGTTTTACGCGGGTGACTCACAGACGCTGTTTATGACGAGGTACATTCACAGGGAAAATGTAATTGATTCGAATGGGCCCTGGCAATCAGCAGCTGTCTGGTATTACACTGTATTTCCCCCAGGTGAATGGAATGCCTCCCTCTCCTGTCAAAATTGCTATTGTCATTGTGTAACCATAAAAAAACCCCCAAAAAACCAAGCAAGTTTGGTGATAACATCTCTTGGGCTGAATAACTGCTGGCAGCTTGTTTCCAGGGTGGCTTCAGGAGGGTTGTCTGGTTGCCAGGGCAGGGGAGGTCAGCATTCCCTGCTCCCTGCCTAAATTCACAGATTTGCTTCATCTTGCACCTGAGATTATCCCTGGGCAAAAAAAAAATGTTAGTCCCAAAGCCATAACAGTGTCAGAGAAGGATGCTGCAGGATGTGGTGCTGGTTGTCCAGTGTCTGCATGGATGAACGTGAACTCATGCTCCTCCAGCGGTGCCTCCAGACTGACCTGTGCCCTGTGCACGATGTTTGCCGTGCGCCTCAGGAGCAATGTGTAGTCTGGGATCATCATCAGCAAAACAGGGACTTCCTGAAGGTTCCCAGAACAACTGGTGAATTATGGTTTGCTCTTTGTTGCCAGAGCATCCGACACAGACCATTAAACCCTGTGTGTGTGATCCAAACAGTTGGGTTGTTTCTGGAGATTTAACAGGTTTCCAGGTCTCGGATCCAAATGGGTTGTTGTACTCACAATAACAGCAATAAGCTCTGAGATGTTTTTTAAAGGTCCTCAGACACGTTCTCCTTGAGAAGGTCTCTGTGCGTCAAGTTGTCACAGCCCTCGTGTTTGTCTTTACAATTGCAGCTGCCACCGGGAACTGCTGCACTTTGGGTGGTTTCCCATGGGTTGTAGCCACACCAGATCTTCTAGAAATGGGGAACAGGGTAGGACCAGGGCTTGGGGAGAAGGGGATGATGACTTCATTTGATGGGGATGATCAGGGCTCCATTTGCCTGCCAGGTGTCCCAACAGGAACCCTGGAAAAGCCTGGCAGGAGCAGCTGCCCAATGCTACCAATGAACCAACAAAATATCAAATTGCTGCTTAATGAGATTTATCCATTAGGGATCCTCAGCCTTTTCTGTGTGTGTTTGTGAATACAATACATTAACGTAGTGTGTTATAAAATATATCCTGATTATAGATAATTAAATGGATAAAATGATTTTTCTCCTGCAGCTCTAGATGTTGCCATGACAGGCAAACCAAGAGTGCATCCTGGGCAAAAAAAAGAATAAGGCTGCTGTGTTGCACGCCCAGTTACTCAGGTCATTGCCACTTAACACCGTATTTCTGACTGAAAAATGAAACGTTAGCCAAAAGCAGTATTGAAATACTATTACATCTGACAACTGCAGATGTCCATCCGTGTTCTTTTCCAAAGCCTAAATTTTTATAGCTCTCCAGAAAAGGCCGTTGTTCTGAAACGTTACAGAATTAAGGGATCGATTTACTGTCCTGATGATGTTCCCTCCAGACAAGAGATTGACCAGGTGAAATGTTAATGCAGCCGGTATTGATGACAAATAGGAGACCAGTTTATGTGAGAATGACACAGACCCAAACACTGTCCTGTGGGCAGCAGGTGGAGGGAGGGGATTCTGCCCCTCTGCTCCGCTCTCCTGACACCCCACCTGCAGTGCTGCCTCCAGTGCTGGGGCCACCAACAGCACAAGGACATGGAGCTACTGGAGCCAGTGCAGAGGAGGCCACCAGAATGATACAAGGGCTGGAGCAGCTCTGCTGTGAGGACAGGCTGAGAGAGTTGGGGCTGTTCAGCCTGGAGAAGAGAAGGCTCCGGGGAGACCTTCTAGTGGCCTCCCAGTACCTGAAGGGGCTCCAGGAAGGTGGGGAGGGACTTTGGCCAAGGGCAGGGAGTGAGAGAACAAGGGGTGATGGCTTGAAAGTGTCAGAGGGGAG